TATATCTTGATATATGTAGTGGGGTGTATATGGTTAAGATAGGATTTTTCCTTCCTACATAATAGGAAATATATCACTGGCCACTTGATTGAGTGAGACTAGAAATGCATGGCCATGCTCGAATAAGTTGATATGTGATATCATAAATTATTCGTTAATTATAGTCTACTCTAGATATCAAGAAACAATAGATGGGTTATACAAGTGTGATTATTCTAAAACTTGTGCCTATTCTAGATATAAAGGACAAAATGATGTAATACATAAAAGAGTTAATCACGAAGATGATACGTCGAATCATAATTTCTTGTAACTTAGGCGACAATGATATATTGCTAGATGTCACTCATTGTATATAATATTAGAATTGTTCCAATAATTACTACTAATGTTACAAGAACCTACAAGGTCACACCCTAGGATTGGAATGAGCAAAAATGTACAATTTGTTGTATATTACTAAAATATATCTAGAGTTATGATATGTATATTTGATATACATATGATTTTAATTATCCTGAATATAGTAAGTAAGCATTAAAAGAATGTAATTTAGATTACAACTCTTTTAATTGGTATATATAATTCGGAATAATTAAATAAGTTTTTAAATAAACATTAAAGAATATAATTCATATTATAAGTCTTTAATGTATATTTATTTGAATTAATTAAATAATATTTTATTGTTAATTCTAAATAACTTTAAAAACCCTAAGCTGATAGGGTAATGGATATAAAAGGGTGTATTAGATCTAGCAGCCGTTTTTTAACACACACACATAAACCTTCAGTCGTTTTCTCTCAAAATAGTTTTGGGGAAAACAAACATTGCTCTCAATCGGGCAAACTGAGTAGAGGACGAGACGTGATTTCGTTGAGGATTACGATTCGAATCGATCGTAATCGGGATTAGTCGCTGCTGTTCTTGTTGTTTTTCAAGGAACCCACTGTAGGTATTCGCATCCCTTCCTCCCAATTTCAATTTTTTGTACTTGGATCGCTGGTGAGACCGTCGAGTGTTGTTTTCGCTGCGCCGTGGAGTACACCGACGGTCCCAACAGTAATGTATTACATCGATTTATGAGCCATATCGATCGACCATTTAAACTCTATTTGATCTCCCTCGAACTTTAATTCCACGTCCCATAATGTTTCGAATATATCGCAAACAAATTTACATCAGAAACTCAACTTTATCAAAAAACCAAATTGAATCCGAAGATCAAACACTGAAAATGACTTACCGAGTGCTAATTTGGCAAAATAGACTTCAGATTCAGACTCAAGACGTTGAGAAACATAAAATATGACTCTACGAAAAATTTGACTTTTAGGTTAAAGTCAACGGTCAAAGTCTGTGTGTCAAAGTCAATGGGTTGACTTGGATGCATTGACTCAGTTCAGGTTGACTCGGTCGGGTCAAATAGACATTGTTCAGATCGGTTCGGGGCGGTCCAGTCCACCTGGATCGTTTCTAGAAGAATGGATAAGGAGGAGCCCCACGAGCGTACGGCGGCATGTGACAGCAACGATGGGCTCGGGGCGGCCAGCATATTACTCCAACATCACCTAAACAACAACACGATCAAGTTTTACACAAAATTTCATCCAAAACCATGTCAAACCCAAGAAAAATAATTAACTGAAATATCTCGGGCTTACCTATAACGACGATGAGGAAATCAATGACGACAAAGTGAACCAAGGGCTAGGTTAGGAATGGACAACGATGGTGAGTCTAGTGGCAGCGGTGGTGAGGCGAAACAACGACTGGACTGACAGAAATCAAAGCAAAAGCGAGGAAAAATTTGGGGTTTTCGACCGACTTTTCGAATGGTACTCCATGACGAACGACGCGAGGTTTTGGTGATTGGGACCCTATGCTACGATCGGACTGAGTCAACGCTTCTAATGGTACGGGCGGTGCACCACGACGTCAGTCGGGACAGAGTAAATTAGTGAAGGGGAGCGGTGGCTAGGGTGGAGGTTGGATTTAGGGATTTTAATTTAATTCGGGGGGTTACTTTTCACTAACCATAAAAAATGGGATAATTCAATGTTTAGTCCCTGAACTCCTTAAAAGTTCAAATATAGGTTGTATGGTTTTAAAACTTTCAATTTAGTTCATAATTTCATTATGTTACTTAGTGAGGGTTAAGAAGTTTTTATTCTATTTTTGAGGAATTTTATCCTTAGGAAGTGTTCTTAATCCCTCAATTAGCTTCAAAACAAAGATAATAACCTATTTATTTGATTTTGGTATAGCGAAAGAGGTGGGAGAAAGCTCAAAGACTAGAAGAAAGGAGAAATTGGTTCTTGGTTGAGTTGAGAACATTTCCAGCAGCTAGGAAGTTACGGTAACACATTCAAAACTCCATTATATCATAAGTGAGTCATTAGAAAGCATCTAGATAATGGGTATTTAGTTCATGAAGCATGTATGAACATCCATGCAAAAATCTTGGTTGAAGGTGTTAATCAACATGTTTATTGGCTATCATGATTCATACTATCATACATAAGACTTAATTAACTATTGGGAACTATAGAGGGTCTTTTTGAGAGAGTCGAAAAGTCATGCCCAAATAGGGTATTTCTGGGATCGAGTATAGTTACTGGATGAACAATACCAATATCGCTTTTCGTGTAGCCCAAAAATAAGGCGTTTTAGGACAAAGAGTGTTGATACCACTTTAAAGGGTATCAATACTATACCAGGAGTATCGACACTCATTGAGGGGTATCGATACCAAATGCTAGATTTGGATTCCAGTAATCGATTTTTGATACTAATAGTAAAGGGGGTATTGATACGCTAAGTAAGAGTACCAATACTCAACTAGTTTTTCAAACATCAAAACCAAATTTAGTATCGATACTAAGGGTATTATTGATACCCTAGTGTGTCAGTACTGATACTCTCACAAGAGTATCTGAACCCTGGTCTTGAAATGGGTAAGAAGCCCATTTCAATTCTAGTGTTTGGGTAGGGGAAAGAAAGGGTCATCAATACTTATTGAATAAGACTACAAGTGAGAACAATAGAAATAATTACAAGAACAACTAGAAATGGTATAAATTTGGATGATATAAAATTGGTTTTGTTTGATGCTGAGAAACGACCATGACACCCGAGTTACTATAGCCATATGATGATCGTTTTGTTGTACAAAATATCTAGAAATGTTTTAGCAAGTGCACGAGGCACTTTTGTGACTAATTAGTGCGTAAGGCCCAAACTCTTACGAGGGGTGGGTTAGTCGGGTGTTGTTTACAATGTAGAAATTTTGGATCTCACCCTAGGTAGGCTAGAGGGGTGTGCGTCCCAAGATATCACAATCCTCCAACCACATTGTGGTGCCTACCATTGTATCGTGTGTAGCATATATGTATTCTCAATTCCTTTATTTTACTTTTTAGCATGAGCATTTAATGAACACACATAGAATGGTCTATTTTTTAGTATGACTCTGAGCTAGTGAGCTTAGCGATCAAAATTTGTTTCCGTGCCTAGATTCTTAGGAGGAGCATTCATGGAGCTTATTGCGCAGTTGAAGTTCCAGAAAGACCGATCAGTAGAGTACGTCTTGATTATTTTCTTAAAGGGCATGTATTATTCATAGATGTTCTTGTACTTGAGTCGTAACTGTATTTTAAATACTCGATATGTATTATCAATATATGTATATACATATATTGGGAGCTCCTTGTTGTAAACTCAAATACTTATGTTGATTTATGCTCTATTTAATGGTCTTTAAACGATGTTTTACAAAGGTTTTAAAGAAAATTTTTGGGTTAGCCACTACGATGGTCCTGTGTGAAATTTTAATCGGTCGACCTTGCGTCGTATCAGATTAGAGTGTTACATAAGTAAAATTAAACTTTCCCCCCCCAATTTTTAGATAAAATTCTTAATAAGTCCTTATTATTTTGAAATTAAGTACCTTGCCCCCTAATATTTGATCCTGGCTCCATCCCTGCACCAAAGGCCTTTAATTGGTATGTGTGTGGACGGGCCAAACACAAAGCCTACCATTGCCAACAACGGTCAGCCCGCCAAAAAGAGAATAAACCACAACTGAACATCCTGAGAATACTGACAAGATCATAGAAACAACTGTTTCTGAAGTTAATCTGATGGAGAACGATGTCGAGTTGATTGTAGGCATTGACGCTTCCATACATTTATACGCCAAACTGAAGTTGTTCACTAAGTTTGAGAATGTGGAGAAAGATGAACAAGTGTACATGAGGAACTCTAGCAACTCTAAAGTGCTAGACAAAGAAAAGATTTTACTAGAGCAAACAATTTTCCAAAATAAAAATATTAATTTTTCCAAAAATAAGATATTTAAAAAAAAATACACACACATCAACTAACCATTTTTAATTTTTTTTCTTTATTTTTCGTAGTTTTAAATTACATTTTGCATATTTTATTTTTTATTTTGTAGATGTTTTTATATTTTTAATCTTTTTAGAATATTATTAATTATTAATTTTTGGAGTTTTTAGTTTTTATTTTTTAAGAATTTTATGTTTCAGAATACTATATTATAATTTTCAAAAAAATTCTTACTTCTGGAACGTTTTTATAATTTTTTTTTTAAAATGAGAACTTTTTAGCTTTTAGTTTCTCTTTGATTTTTTTTATTTAACAAACATTTATATCACATAATATGTTCCTAGTAAGTCGCACTAGATTTTTTTTAGCAGATTTGGAATTGGACTAACATGATTAACGATATGTAACTTTCGTACCAAACTTTTTAAAAAGATAGGTACCAAAGAAATTGTCAGGGGACAACTTTGGGTTCTAAATTAGGAATTAACCCGAAAGTTCAAATACTAAAGGTGCTCTTTACTCCAATAAAAAAGGACGTGTGTCTTATTCCTCCCATAAAAGGTTTATTGAAAGGGGAAGTGCAGTCTTAGTTTTTGATTTCAACTTAAAAGCCACGTCAAACTTCTAGTTTGAAAGCTCCGGTTGACAAATTTAGACTACGAAGGTGGCCTCCGATCGGCAGCGTGAAGGGACAGATGGCCCTGCTCCACCAGCGATTCGATGCAATCATCGAACATTTCCTCAATAGGCTTGAACTTGAACCCTAAACTCCTTATCTTTGATGTGTTGAATTCATAATATGGTCTCTCTAGTTGCACAAACCTCTTCGGGATAGGGAGTGACGGATAACGAGCCGATAACATCGATACCATCTCGTTGTTGTCGATCACCGTTGAACTGCAGAGGTATCGGCCATTCGCGGCATCGTGCTCGTACACAAGGATGTGACAAAGTGCAACATCATCAATGTGAACATATCCCATCCGCCCATGCCTCTGAAATTGCTCGTTTTCCCCTGTGGTATGGAACAATGCCCTTTGTTAATCGATCTTGATCGTTGATCATTATAAGAGATGTTCGTTTCTGATACCTTTTAGCAAGGCAAGGACATCGGAGGCAGTGGAACATAAATCAGGCGGTAGACTCGGTCCGATGACGAAGGTGGGAAGGACTGTGACCAGATCTATGTTGTTATCGTTGCAGAACTCCCATGCTGCCTTCTCTGCTAGCGTTTTTGCTAAAGCATACCAAACCTTTGAAATGCAGCCCATCTCCATGTTTAGGATGAGAAACATTAATGTAGCTATAGACTTAAAAGGTTACCTGCAAATTCCGAATGAATATTTTGGTGAAGTTACCTGCAAAGCCTCGCAGAGTTGAATGGAGCTCCAAGATGACTCATCAAGGGGTATTTTGTAGTCAAAATCATCTCTAGCTCTTACAGTTGAAGAAGATGATGTGAGAACTACGCGCCTCAGAGAAGGGTTCTTCTTACATGAGCGTAGCACGTTCACGGTGCCCTTCACAGCCGGTTCCAGGATTTCCTTCTGATGGCAACAGTGAGAATCAGAAATAGAAAATCCCTCAACGATTTAGATCTCTTTTATACCAATTTAGTTGACTAAAAGCTATATTAAATTGTTACGGATACGGGGACGTGAAATGGTAATTTCTAAAATTACATGGCAAGATATGATAAGAGTACGGTAAATATAAATAAATTTAAAAAATCATAATTACTACAAAATCACGTATTTTGCCTATATTTAGTTTTCTGCTTGCACTACTCTTGTTAAAACAAAAATATCTTTGAGTTTTTGATATTTGATTAAGGCGTTTCAAGATGTTTTAAAAAGGTAAATAAAAGACGATTCATACGTAAAAAGACACCACAACACAAGAATACTCTGTTCACATCTAAAAATTCATCTTGATATTCAAGGCTTCAAAATCAACTTTAATTTCTAATTCAAAATCATTTTTTAATTTAAATCTAAAAAATAATATTGAATACGGACCGGCGATCGAACGACGTCCTCAGGTACTCTCTCCAACATGCTTAAATAGTTCTAATCTATCACTTCAATATGGGACATCCTATATACGTGTCCAAATTGTACCTATTCTGTACCCATCTCAGGGACGTACTGGGTAGTTATAACAGCATCGCGCAACATAGAAAAAATCTAATGTTTCATTGAAAATCAGAAACGGAGGAAGAGAAGATGCCTTGGGATCAAATGAAGGTTTAATGACGGGGGAAGCAGTATGGAAGACGCCCTCGCACCCCATGATCGCTTCGTCGAAACTGTCGTCTTCCATCAGATCGGCCTTCACCAATCGGAGTCTCTCCTCGGCACCTTCCAGCTTCAACAGGTGCGCTAATTTCTTGTCATTTGCTGCCCCTCATGCACATAATAACCACAAAAATTAATGAAGATTAAGGCATCGATTAAGCAGCTGAAGATGTGAAATACCTGGATCTCTAACCGTGCCAATGACATGATATCCACACAAGAGAAGACGCTTAACCAACCAAGAAGCCAAGTAGCCTGAAGCACCGGTCACGCAAACTTTGCCTTTCACCCCATCCATTTCCACTCCCCTGTAATCAAATTTTGATGGACTGGCTGCTTTTTATATGTGCACCAATGCACAGCATGCATGAATGTTCTGTTTCAATAGGTGAGAGTTGAGGAAGAAGAAGGTAAGTCACTTGATGCTTGTGAGTTTCGCTAGGGTAGATATTCATTCAAAATTATAATTAATATATAGTTTAAATTAAAGGATAATTTTATTGGTTAGAGATTTCTTGTTGACTAAATTTATTTGATAAATAAATAATAGCTTCTCTTGGACACAGTCAAATGGCGGCAATACTAGTCCCAAAACTGGATGTTTAATGCCCTCTCAATTGGTACACATTACACGCATATTGCAATCTCTCCCCATGAAGCAGCAGCAGGAAAAAGTATATACCTGTTGTAGTATAGCTAACATAAGCGAACATATTTGAGCAAGTATAGCGGTCATATCAACTTAAAACTTTAAAAAAATTATAGGTTTGAATTAAATTTTTTCAAAAATTAATTGAAGATTTAAGGAAATAAATGTCTAAAATTTTAATTTAGTCAAATTAATTTATTTTTAAAAAATTTTAAGGTTCTAAAGTTGATGATTTTTAATTTTTGAGGGGGCATGGCCGCTCCTAAACTATGTTCCGCCACTATGTTGATTAAATGTATTGGGAGACGATCCTTTTTGTTAATGGACCAGCAATCATAATGTTAGTACTTATGTACTTGATTGACATGATTTGTTTAATGAACTTCTTTAACGATAAAGTATTTCACTTGTATATGTTTAGCAGCCTCTGAATACTTGTCAAAAAGAAAACTATTATAAAATTATCACAATAAATTTTTACAACTTAACAGTACTGTCAATAATTCCAAATTACATAATAAAATTTTACAACTACAAACCAGGAACAATGACTTCAAAACATGTCACTTTCTTCCTTACAAGTACCTAAGTACTTTCTTTCAATTATCTGATCCTATATTACTTGATACCAATTAACATATAAATTACAAAATTGATGTCTAACTTGTTATAAGTCTGTACATCAAGCTCCTAACAGTATATATATAAGAAATTAGTTTTATTTATCATCTTTTGAATTCGTTCTTCATATATTACGAAAGACTAAATTCATATCCTTTTTTGAATTGGAAAAACACTTTTAAAGCATTTTTCATCTTAGATCTCCCTAAAACTTTATTAATATGGATTTTAGACAATCTTAACATTCCTTGTGACCTATCATGAAATATTTAAAATGCTACCCCATAGGATACATGGCCAATATCCTTCACCTAAAAGTTTATAAAGAGAAATTTATTGGTCTCATGTAATAAGACAAGATCATCAGTAGACAGAATGATGTCATCAACATACAAAATGATAAAATTGTTTGATCTTCAAATATTTACACTAACCAATAATGTTTTCTTTAAACAAAAAAAAGTGATGGTGTAACACCCTAAATCCGATAAGTAACATATCGACAATGTCATAACGTTTTTAAAATGAAATAATCGAATTTAAAAAATAATTATGACTTTATTTTGGGGAAATTGGAGTTTTTGATGAAATGTGATTTAGTTTGAAATTTTGGAGTCATCATCGACCTTAGGGTTTTGTAGGTCAAACACCTAAAATTTTTGTTTAAACTGTTTTTAAGGAAAATATTTTAAAGACAAAAAATGGTCTTCGTTTACCAAAAATTCATTTTCGATTACGCGTGGGGAAGGGTGAGCACCCCACAAAGCCCGAAAGCGATACTTAGTCGCAGTGGAACTCGCAAATTCAAGTAAAAAATTAAAGTATTATCCTTTTTATTAAAATTGACCAAGTTCACTTTTCGTTTGAATGTCATTGAATCGCACTTCTATTATAGAGTAGTGTTTTTTACTCCCATTCTACGACGAGTGTTCTTGAAAATATTCGAGCAAAAGATAAAAAATATTAGCTACTAAAAGGGATATTTAATAATAATTAAGACATACATGCATAAACTGTTCATAAAAAATAATAATAACAATAAGAATAATTATAATAATAATAAAATAAATTTCTATTAAATACTACGTAGTATATATAAATTAATAAAAAGATTCTAATATATGCATATACAAATACACGTACCTAGGATATACTTAGAAAGTGATAAAATACAAGACATAATAGTAACTAATTTGTATATATATACATACTGGATACAGATACAAAAAATATAAATTTAATAACCATGAGTATAAAGTATTTAATAATAACGAATATTTATAAAAGAAACTAAGATAAATGCTCGAACAATCCTAAGGGTTAAAGTAAAATTTGAACGGGGACCAAAATATTATAATTCAAGGAAAGGGGGCCAAATCAAGATTCTTTTAAAACTATCATAGTTTCATGCGCAATATGACCAATATATTAAAAGCTTGTACACGTACAGAACACCAAAACGAATTAAAGGAGAGAGGATGCTAAAGTACTTCCCCGAGAAAGAGAAAACCGCCGTCCTCCGGTAGCCTTTTAAAGCCAAACTTCAACAGAAGGTCCGTCTCGATGCCAGGAGCTCAGATCCGGACTTGGTTTCGTTGAAAAACACTCCGAATTTCACGAATCAATCGAAAATTGTTTAAATTTCCCACTCTCCGATCTCCTCATCAGACCGTTTGATCGACTCCATTTTGAAATATGTTACTCCCCTCAATCCTCTCTTCCAGTTGACCGGTTGGATTCATGAACCGATCCGGAGGTTGCACCACCGTAAGCTTCTATTCTCTCTTTTTGGTATGAATCCCCCTTTTCGTTCCCCCTTTTCTCTCTCGGTCTCTTCTCTCTCCCCTTTTTTGGAGGTGGTTCCTCTCCTTTTTTTTCCAGGTTTCCTCCTTTTTAAATCTTGTCTTGCATGTGGATTTGATGATAATTTGTTCTTGTGCTCTCGAGAAGATAGGGAATGAGTGCCCTATTTTTGGCGATTGAAAATCCCATTTTTGATTTCTCTTTGTTTTATCTGAGTATAAAATATATGTGTATTTTATATTTATTTTTTACTAATTTGGTCTCATTTTCTTGATTGACGTGTGATGGTCGACTGAAACGGCGGAATAAGTAAGTGTCAAAAGCGGTGGTGATGGGAGAGGCTCGGTCTAGTGACAGTGGCGATGGTAGGATCTGTCACTGGTGGCGGTGGCGCAACAGGCCTAGGGTTAGGGTGAAACCCTATCTATCATCTCATATGGGTTGTTGGATCAAGTACAGATCCAACAGATGAGGAACAAGGTGGATGTAGAGGGAGAAAACCCTAATTGTATCGGGCTCTCTTGATTGGGCTTAGGTTTATTAGACCTGACCCAATTGGGTATGTTGTTGGGCATTTCTTTGTAATGACCCTGTAACATGAAATATAATAATATGAATTTTAATAATAATAATTATTATAATTATAATAACAATAATAATAAATAATAAAAATAAACTAGGATGAAAACGGATGTCTACACCTGCCCCTATTTTCTTATTATTGTGTTAACAAGAATAGGGCAAAGATGACAAGACAATAAGTTTTTGTCTGATTCCCTCTTTCACTTTGAAATTTGATATTAAGTGAAACTGCTCATCCACGTTGAAGAGATCTAGCTGCTTTTTGGTGAATGCTTGACTTATCTGCATGAAAAAGTTAGGTTGAAGTAGGACATCACTGAATGACATATCCAAAAAGTTGACTCGTCTACGCGATAAAGTCAAGAATGACATCACTAAAAGATTGACTCCTAATTGAGAGAAAGTCAAGACGGATATCACTAAAAAGTTAACTCATTTACGCGAGAAAGTCTGGAAGGACAACACTAAAAGATTGACTCATCTCCGCAAAAAAGTTAATATTGCATCACTAAAAGGTTGACTTCTATTCGTGAGGAAGTCAATAATGACTCTAATAAAAGGTTGACTCCTCTTCGTGATAAAGTCAAGAAGGACATCACAAAGACATTGACTCCTCTTCACGAGAAGGTAAAGAATGACATCACTAAAAGATTGACTTCTTTTCATGAGAGAGAGTTAAGAATGACATCACTTAAAGGTTGACTCCTCTTAACGAGAGAGTCAATAAGGAAAACAATAAAAGATTGACTCCTCTTCATAAGAAAGTCAAGAATGACATCACTAAAAGATTGATTCATCTTCGCAAGAGAGTCAAGAATGACATTACTTAATGGTTGGCTCCTCTTCATGAGAGAGTCAATAAGAACAACACTAAAAGATTGACTCCTCTCCGCGAGAAAGTCAAGAATTACACAACTAAAAGATTGACTCCTCTTCGTGAGATAGTTAAGAATGACATCACTAAAAATTTACGCATTTTCACGAGAAAGTCAAGAATGAAATTACTAAAAAGTTGACTCCTATTTGCGAGAAAGTCAAGAATGACATCACTAACAAATTGATTTCGTTTGTGAGAAAATCAAGGTTTCTAGGGAAACAATCATGAGAAGGACAGAAACAAATTTCTAGAGAAATGATACTAAGAAGGACTAAAATGAATTTCAAAAGAAACGATCCTAAGAAGGACTAGAGTGAGGTCTATAAGGAAATAGTCTTAATAAAGACATAATGGTTTATCAAAATAGATTTTACAGGCATCCTCATGAGAGGAAAATCAAAATTTATCATGTTTGTATGAAACGATGAATGTATGATGCAAAGATGCAAATTGATGTAACATGTATGAATGCATGTTTTCTTAATGTGTGGTGGGAATGGTTGCATGAGCAGTCTTTATTCTATCCCTGATTTGGTTGTCTTTGCTCTTTGTTTTCATCAGCATGCATTCTTGCAAGTTTTGACTTTGAAAGGACTCATCTTGCCCTAATAAATTTTACCCCAAAATTATCATATTTTATTGTCTTGATTCTGAGCATGAGCTTCTATGTTTAAGAGACATGTATCAATTACCAAGATCTACTCCAGAGAGATTGTGTTGTTTGAAAATGCTTTTCTTCTTCTTCTTTTTTTAATTTTCAAAAGGTAAAAAAAATTGATGAAGTTTTGAAAATGTCTTATGAAAGAATTTTGAAAATTATTTAATGAAAGAATTTT